TTAAAAGTTTAAGGGTGCGAATTGGACCTTTTTTACCGGTTCTTTAACCTTAAAAAATGAAATTTGAATCTTTTTTTTTGCCGGTTCGGGGTGTGAGTTGGACCTATTTTTTAGTTCAGTGATCGAAATGAGTTTATACGACCGGTACAGAGACCTATTTGACCCTTTAGCCTATTTTTAACCAATTACATTGACATGTTTAAACAACGCATGCCGGCAAAAATTAACTTTTTAAAATAGACATATGATTGAATACACTAATATATTAATGTGAAAATTGAATTGTTGAAACAAAAAAAGAGGTAAAAAGTTAGTATATACCGTTCTTTTTTTTAAAAAGGAAGCATATCATGCCTCTGTTATAATACTCTCCACAATGCATGATTTTTGTTGTTGCAAATGTCTTAGAGATAATAATAATAATAATAATAATAATAATAATAATAATAATAATAATAATAACAATGGAGTACGAGTTGTGTTTGGACATTTCTTTTTTAACCTGGTAGGCAAACAACCTATCGGTGGGGCAAATGTCGGGGAACATTTGCCATATTTTATCAATAATAAAAATAATAATTACAAATATGAAGAGGGGGACTAGACCAATACATCTTCAAAGATGACATCCCTTCTTTAAAATAGAATGAGAAAACAAGCACACCGAATCGGGGGGGAACCTGACCCATTTTTAAAAAACATGAAAACACAATCAAAACAATTAATAGCAAGAATATATAGGAGATGGAATATTAAACACATCTTGTTTAAAAGCTAATAAAATTTCATCCTTTATTACTGTCCATTTGGCCAGCGGCATATTAGTTGGTGAATGGGTTGTCGTATTACCTTATCGACAAACATGCCCAAAACTTATCCGTTGTGTTTGGACATTAAGTAACTAAGAATTAATAAGGTTGTAGTCTTTTATTCGAAAAATATGAGTCTTGATTACCGATGTTTGATATGATAATATATGGTAGCATGTGATTTGATTGTGAATGATAAACATCGTTACAAAATAACATTTCACTCTGTCACTCATTTAATGTTACTCATACAAAACATTTTTAACTTAAAGACCAGTTATGAGGGTAAGCTAATAATTATATTCCCCCGAGTATAGGAATGGAGGTATCAAATTAATCATGTGCACTAATGTTGGAGAACAAGTTCATTAAACAAATCCACATTGGAGATACTCCAAAGGTTATGTGTCATCACTGTAGTCCTCAATCCTCACTTTACAACGTGAGATATCACTTTTTTCATCGACTAAAGTTTTTCCTCCATATTTTCCTTCACAAAGTTTTAAGAAGGCATCCACTGGTTTTTTTGAGACTCAGAACAACAAAATTAAACAAGAAAACTTGATGGAGTAGCAAGCACGAAACCACATATCCATTGTTTAAGTTATTTTAGGAGAATATGTTATTTTTTAATATATGACATGTTGAACTGCTTAAATATAATACGTAATAATAATTATTGTTCAATGACAACAATATATTATTATTTTTATTTTGTAACATGTTTATAGTGAACACTGATTTTGTATATTTCGTTAATTTATGATAATTTGTAGTATTGAGACACATGCTGACATGTATGGTAATTTATCGATATCGTACGTTACTGAACCGAGACTTCGGTATACCAAAATACGATAAAACAAAATTTCAGTATATCAAAATACATGACACCTAAATTTTGGTAAGACGGCAATATATAAATTTTGTATATCGAAAATTTTGATAAGACAAAATTTTGGAGGCCATTAGATTCCCATAATAACTTTCATTAATCCTCTCAACATAGTTAGTTAAATACGGTACATGAATTAAACGTGGTTTAATACGTACGTGTTTTATTCGGTAATTCAAACAAAAAATACGGTTAAATATTTGGCAAAAATACGTTGACTTTTAAAAAGCGTGTAAATACGTATACGTGTATAATACGACATCTCTTAGAAAAATTCGAATTAAAAATACGGGTCTTATTATGAATGCTTAAATTATTTTAGTAGTTTTAAGAGAATAAAAAACATATAGTACATAAAGGATAATCAAAATACACACACATTCAAATAGAATATCTCATTACTCCATAAAAAATGCATTCACAAAAAAGGAATAGTAATTAAGCCCAAAATAACATTTAAATTATATACTTCATAAAATAACATATAATAAAAAGAAATAAGAGTGTACACATATTGAAGTAGCAAATCACATTACTACATAAAAATAATAATTTGTAATTGTATGAATCGATGACAGAAGTAAAAACAGTAATCAAGTCTAAGACATAATTTTGCAAAGTAATGTAAAAAAATAAGGCATAATAAGTAATAATGATACAATGAGACCAAGTTAACATCATCATCATCTTTATATGGTCATCATATAACACTCAAGTTATGCTCATCATTTTAGCCTAGATGACGGATGACATATGAGAAAGTTGTGCGACTGTTACGCTTATTATTGTTTATGTGTAGAAGTTTACAGTAAAAATGTCAGGTTTAGAAAAATCTTAATTTTGATATGCTTGTTTGGAAAAGAACATAAGCAAAAAAATGTAGTAGTATTTTAGGTTTTAGTCTTTAAGTTGCTAGCTTTAGTCATCATGCAATTAATTTTAGTATTTAACAATTGTATATTTTGTAATGTAACAATACAAAAACACGGGGTCATGGGGATGGTGTTTTCTTTTTTGCTTTTAAGCTATTGTTGATCTTCTATTCGTTTGATGTATTCATTCAATTGATTAAATCATGTTTCTATTTTTTGTAAAATACGAGAAATATACGTTTTATATGGGAAGTAGAAGTTTTTTTCCTTTTTAAACGGACCGACATTATTTTTCGTTTTAAACGCGTTTTTTTGTTCAAAAAATGGTACGTGTTTTAAACGCGTTTTAAACGGAAAAAAGCTAACTAGGCCTCTCAAAATGTCGTCCAAACAAACTGTTGTTTTTTGACCCTCACTTATGGAGGTGTTTGGAACTGATTCTGTTTCTGATTCTTTTTTAAAGAAGAAACAGAATCAAAATCAATTTTCAGAAGCTCGTCTCCCCCAACTTTTAAAAAAATTGATTCTAAGAGTAAATTAGAACAGCAGGATCAATTCTGCACTTTCACCAAAACACTCCAACTTCTGCTTCTGCACTTTCACCAAAACGCTCTAAGAAACATTTGCATATAGGAAAATTCTTAAGGCACACCTTGGGTTACACCCCGGGGTCCACCCCATTTATTTGCCCTTCACACAGACAAAAAACGTAAAAATACAGACACTTTCGATTAAACTGTCGGTGTGAGTTTGCAGAACTGTCAGGCTGGTTGCACGCAAACCAATGTCGGTATGCACAAACACTAGTTGTCTGTGTAGACAAAAAAGTGTCGGTGCGAACAAAGTTGGTTTGCATGTTCAGGGGGTGGGAAACTAGTGTCGGTGTACACAGACATTAGTTGTCTGTGTAGAAAAAAGTGTCTGTACATATACAATTTTCGTCGGTTTTCTTTCCTTCTCTCTTTTTACGTTTTATTATGCACACCGACACTGATTTGCTTTCAGTGTCTGTGTACACCGACGAAAATTGTATATGCACAGACACTTTTGTTTCTACACAGACAACTAATGTGTGTGTACACCGACAAAAATTGCATATGTACAAAAACTTTTTTCTACACCGACAACTAATGTCTGTGTACACCGACACTGGTTTCCCAACCCTCAGAACTTGCAAACCAATTTTGTTCGCACCGATACTTTTTTGTCTACACAGAGAACTAGTGTCTGTGCACACCGACATTGGTTTGCGTGCAACTAGCCTGGCAGATCCGCAAACTCACACTAACAGTTTAATTGAAAGTGTCTGTGTTTTCATGTTTTTTGTCTGTGTGAAGGGCAAATAAATGGGGTGTACCCCAGGGTGTACTAGGGCTGAGACCGGTTCGGTTCTTACTCAAAATAAGTGGAACCATTATAAAAGTTTTAACTAATTAAATCGGTTCGGTTCCTATATAAAAAATCAAGAACCGTTATGGAACCGAACTGGTAGTAAACGGTTCGGTTCTTCCTTTTACCGGTTCCTAGAATAATTTTTTCTCATCTAAGAATTAACACATAATTTTAAACACGTCGAAAATTCAAAACACGAGTATTAAAATTTTATTTGAAGCTCTAATTACTTCAAACATCAAAACTCAAACTTAACTAATTTACTTTGAACACTTAATAAAACAAAAGTGATTTAAATTTTCATGTAATAAATGAAACATTAAAAATCGTTGTAGTGTCGGAGCGATGAAGGTTACTCGTCATCATAGTAGCAAGAATAGGACGCCTACTTCAAGTCTTTCAAAACATAAAAAAAAGACATAAAGTTTGCATGTATAGATAAAAAAAAAACATTATTACATTCTATTGATTCATAATAAATCTAGTAATTAGAAATATCATGAAAATAGTAAAGTAAAATATGTGCAATCAACTACAAGTTATTTGGGTTATTTTATATTTATAAAATTTATGTGATGGAACAAAACTTGATTTGTAGAAAGGAGTTTAATGTATTATATCAACCTCATGTACAATATTTATTACTTCTTTTCCGTTGATTAAATTAGAACTGTTAGTTAAATATCTTATATTGTCTTATTATTGTTGTTGTCGTGGCAGTGGTTATTATTGCTATTATATTATTATTATTATTATTGTTGTTACTACTACTTCTACTAATATTATTTTTTTTTTATTTTTTTTTAATAATGGTTCCATAACGGTTCCATGCACATATTTTTTATAGGAACCGGAAACCGAACCGTTATAACCTGTTTCGGTTCGGTTCCTACAAATGAGGCATTAATTGTTAACGGTTCGGTTCCTAAATATTGTTAACGGTTCGGTTCCAATCGGTTCTGTTCCCGGTTCCAAAATCCACCCACGGGTTGTACACCAAGAAGAATTCTTTGCATATATTCCGTATGAACCATGTATGTGCATCATTAGCCCTAAGAAACATTTGGTTGAAAACCTTTTGCTTGAAAGTTGAAACCTCAAACCTTCGTCAAATCGCCCTTAAAGAATGGGGAAGAGAAAAGAGCGTCGGCTCGCCGCCATGAACGCCACCGGTCGCAGAGTAAAGCTCGATCTCTTCGCAGAACCCTCTGGTATGCTATTTTCATCAGTATTCTCAGATTTTATTTTGATAAATTGAGCGTCTACGCTGACTTCCCAGTCGGCTCGCCATCCGTGCCTGTCCAACCGAGAAGGCGGAAATATAAATTCTGCTCAGACACCGGATTAAGATTATTGATAAAGTTTAATCTTTTGGGTGTTAGTTTGTGAAACCGCTATATTTCAATTTCATCTTCAATTTTGCCGAAAAGTAGTATCACTCTTTCTATATACAAGTAATATTAAAGTAGCATTATTGATTAAAATTTGCATATTTTATTTATATCATAAGTTAAATACTCTAATGAATTACAAATGTAGGATTTGAATATGACAAATTTCATACAGTTGAAATTTGAAAGGGAATTGATTTGATCATTAAATGACAACTGAAACAATTAGTTTGGAATGGATGAAGCATAAGATGCCTTCTAAGCATTTAGATGTGGTTGGCCTCTAGGTGAAACTTAGAATACATTATTCTTTGGTAAATATGGTTTTCTTCTCATGGGATGATAAGTTATTGTTCTGATCCATTTGATTTATACAAATTTTGTATGGCATGGATGTAGATTATACTCTTCCCTTCTGTTTCCCAGTAAGTTTGAAATGCAAAATGCTGAAATATCAATATTTGCAGCTAACCCATATGGCCATAATGTTTATTCGCAAATGAAAATATTGGTAACAGTGTGCTTTTTGGATATTGTTCTGTAGGAGATTTGGGTGGCTCTTCCCAAGATGTAGTCAGTGGGCAGCTAGATTCCAATAATCATGCTGAGTTACCCAATTCACCATCACCTTCAGGTGGGTTCTGTCAGCTTTCTTCAAAAGGACATCTTTGTAGAGAAGACATGATGTGACAGCATAATATTGGTGGAAATTATTGCTTTTATTTGTATAACACATGTTCGTTCTACAAAAGGGTATGTTTTCAGTCTATAACCAGGCTGTGGTATTGGGAACAATCAATTGGCCATCAGTATACATCAGTGCCTTGCCACAGTGAATATTGAATAACTTCTTACCTTTCTTGTCCTTCTTTTGCGGCATCAAAGGCTTGTGGAGATTAAGTGAAGAGTATTTTCTCCTCTCGGTTCGTATGTTTCTTGCCTTATTTGTTTAATGACTTACTGACAGTCTCGGACTTCTTTCAGGAGGTGTGCTAAGGATATACACGCCACTTATAAATGCAAATTTTATCAATTATTGATTATTTTATTCCTTTACTCTTTGGTCCCAAATTATAATAATTTTTCCTAGTGTACCTGCATTCTTTTTGGTGAGTGACTTGCTGGTAGTTGCATCGGAATTCACCAGATATTTGACATGTTCTTATTTTGTGTATATAGGTCATCAGCCACAAAATCCTCTTATGTTGCTAGGGCAGTATAGTGATGATGAATTGGATGAGGATTCAAGTGAAGGTCCTTTAGGTGAAGGCTCAGAGGACTCTGTGGTTGCTCATGATGAACAGGTAACATAGCCTAGTACTTGCCAGTTCTTAATTGTCTAATGTAGACAGAGAAAGTGTGGGGATCTTGTAAATAAGTGCTTATCCATTCACAAGCTAGTTCATATGATAGCCAATGATGAAACTCACGGTTTTGGTAGGAGTGCCATTTAATGGTTTATGAGTTGGGACTTCATTTGATTACTTGCTGGAAGTTTTTCCTTCAGTCATACTAGAATAGTTAATGCAGTTCCAACTTCCAAGGGCGGTGGTATACACTTCATCCAGGCAGATGGCTATTCCTGCCCTTGTCATTTATAAAAAAAGATGAGAAATAAGATAAGGAGGCATAGGAAAAGATAAATACTTTGACTGTCACAGGGAACTAATGAACTTTGCAGTTACCTTGTACTAGACAACCGTCTTGAGCTTATGGTTTATTATCTAAGCACGTACTCTAGAATGTCTTGCTGTACAGCTGTACTTGATTATAAGATTGGAAAGCTGCTTGTTTTGGTATTGCTAAATCTATACTTCAAGTTTCTAACCGTGATAATTTCTTGACACAATTGTACCAAATTGTGACGCATTTTTAAGTGATATTTTCTGATTGTCAGTGACTGAAATATGTGCTCAGTAAACACTTAATGTTCCAATGTATTTGGTTAGGGAAAAGTATCCTCTAGAGAAGAAAGGAAAGATGCCAATGGTGTTATCAGCTCTGCACATATGGATGGTGGAGATGAAGCAAACCAAAACAACTTCGCTTCTGAGAACATTTTGCAGACATCAGAAGAGTGTGAGCATAAAGAAAGCACTGCAGTTTACCCTGTTGAAAGTAGTTCAAAAGAAATGGATGAACTGTGTCAAAGTACTGCCCCTGCAACATTTGATGCGAAAACTGTAGGTGATGTATTTTTGGGTTGGAAGGTTCTTTTAGACGAAGAGAGCAATCAGTACTATTATTGGAATGTTTCAACTGGAGAAACATCCTGGGAAGTGCCCAGCGTTTTATTTCCAAAAACTGATTTGGGGAATGATGAGAAAGCAACATATGACATTGATTCGGAGGATACTAGGTTTAAAACATATGAATATCATGCAAGTTTGAATACAAAACTGGAAGTTTCTAACCCTGGAGACACATGTGATGGCCCTAATGACGAGTACAAGATGGACATGAATAATGAAGCAAGCAAATATAGTGCTCTACAAGAGAAAAGAGTGGATGGTGATGCAGACCCAAGCGACATGGAAAAAATGGCCAGACAACATGATTCTCTTCATGATCTTTCTTCTCCTGTGGGTGCTTTGTTGAAACAATCAGGGGATGATCTTCCATATCATTTACGTAAGTCGGGTGAAGATGCTGAGAAGCATGGAGATGTGGTGAGTGCTGTAGAAATTGAAATGGAGGCAGATTTCTCCTCTAACCTTGTGGAGCATTGTAAATCTCTATTACATAAATTGAAGACAATGCAAGGGTATGGTTGTATATGCTTCTCTTTTACATTTTCATATTTGCATTTCATCAAATGTTTCTTGAACAATTTGGAATTTCCGACAAAGATCTTCTATATTTTGTTTTCTTTTGCAACTTTTACATCAATAAAATATTTCAGGTCTCAAAAGTCTTCACAAGGTTATGATCAAATATCAAACTACATGGTAGAAGTTGATATCAGGCTTGCTGATATTAGGTCTTTAGCATGTAATGGACTGTCCTTGCTTCCATTTTGGGTGCACTCCGAAAAACGGCTCAAACTGCTGCAAGCAGCCATTGATGAAATTTCTGTGCTGTCTAATTCCTTAAATAGCTGTGAAGCCAATGCTTTACATACTTCACACCATGAGACTATTGATGAAATCAAAGCGAATGAAAATGGAAAGATTTCCATCCACCATTCCTGTAGGGAGTTATATGCTGTTGAGTATGCTGGAAGTCCAGAAAGCAGAAAAGATGCCCACGTTGAAGCTTCAAATGGTGGTGCCACTACTAATTCTGGGAGCAATTCCTATGAAGAAGGTGAATTTGTTGAACATGCAGCACATGAAGAGTTGACTACTAAAACAGTGCATCCGGGGGAAGAAGTTGATATGGACGTTGATATGGAAGTTGAAGATGTACCTCCTTGTGATTCAACTATTGCGAATTCATCACTTGGCCAGAATTATCTAGCACATGAGAAGGATGTAGCACGAGTCTTACCATCAAATGAGGGATCATCTTTTATGGAGCTTGCATCTATTGTTCCACCACCTCCACCCGATGACGACTGGGTTCCTCCTCCTCCCCCTGATGACGAGCCAATTCCCCCCCCACCACCTGATGAGCCTCCTGAAGCGACATTTTCTCATCCTTGTGATTTGCAGTCTGTACAACCTTTTCCTTATGCGGTATCTTATCCAGTTTCTGAATATGGATACTATAACCAAATGGACAATGCATCAAGTAACTTATACTCACATGCTGCGGGTCAGGTAGCTGTTTCACATCAACATCTGTATTACCAAGCAGTGGCAAATGCATACAGTTCTGATCCGATGGAGGCTAACATTGTTAACCCTGGTGCATATTATGGTTTTCAAGGGGGGTCAGAACACTATGCCCCTGTTTCTGTGGCTGCAGATTCATCTGTACATCCCAGTGGATCTATTCATGAAGCTCTTCCTGGTCCAACTGAATCACTTGGCACTCATATTGAGAATAGCTCTGTTTTGCCAAATCAAAACAAATGTGATGATGTTTCTAATGTTGGGCTTATTGGGATCTCTTTAAACGTCCCTGCTGGTCAAGCAACCCTCCAAGACTCAAGCACTGTTATTGCACCAGAGAATATCGTGATCTCTTCAACTTCTTCTATCACTGCACCTTCTAACTCTGTGACAACAGCTTCTGGTGCCCCATCCAAAGGTAAACTTTGAATTACTATTGACCGGGGGATACACTTCGTATCAATGGTTGTTGGTGATGTCAGCCTGATTGGTTCTGTGATGGGCTGCTCGAACCATCGGCCTTATTTGGATGTGCTTTTTGGTCATTTTGCAGACAAGAAATTTTATGTCTTGCCAACATGTTGGGTCACAGGCTTCTAGGAACGGCCTTACTTAATTTGTATAGATTGTAAAACAACTACACTGCTTGTACTGTCTAATACCCCTCAATGTATCTGATATGCTTTTCTTGTATATCTTCTCCAGTTTATCGCAATAAAAAGCGCACTGTTGCCGTAGGCTCGACATTAAGGTCGAATAAGAAGGTCTCCAATATGGTTGACAAGGTAATATTCTACCCTTTCAGTGTGTTTTCATATTATATCTGCAGATGATGCTTAGAACAATACAAAAATGGCCCCCTTGTCAGAATATTAGTCCACTTCTTTTGTAATTTTTAGTGGAAGGCTGCCAAAGAAGAGCTGCATGCAGAGGAAGAGGAACCTGCAAGTGCCTATGAAAAATTAGAAAAGAAACGAACCCGTGAAATAGAGGTCTGTGTCAAGGACCGATTACCATGTAGCCTATTAAGCTTGTAAATCTAGATCCTAACTTTGGTTTGGGTACAGGAATGGCGAGCAAAGCAAATCGCCAGTGGGGAAGCAAAAGACAATGCTAACTTTCAGCCACTGGGTGGTGATTGGTACAACTCTCCATTCCTTGTGTTATTTTTAAGAGCTCTTTACTTGTGATTAATGGACTTAACTGGGACAATATCGTTCAGCCATAAAACTGACCTAATTTTCTGCCAAAACTAGTTCAATCACGTAGATCTGATATATTTTTCTTCCTATACGGACATCTATTCAACCATTTCTATGTTAATGAGTGGGGATTACTCGTAAAGATAGCCAGACATAACCTCAAATTGGTCTATTACCCAAAGATCACTTAATGTGGAGACCGGAGAGTAATCTAAATTGGACTTCATAGAGAAAAAAAAGTAAACAGCCCCTTAGTTTGTACACGAAATATCACATTTCTCAGTCACATAGGACCCATGATACAAGTGAATATTTAACTTCTTTTCCCCCCCTCTCCATTCATTTGTGTGGCATGCGGTGGAAAGTCAATAAATATGTCATGCTTTATTGTGTGACATTGGCACGCATGAAAATATATAAACCAAACAACTTCCCTGCTCGTACATCAGCTATCTTCTCTTACTAGGGGTGGGCGATTTGGTTTACGGTTCGGTTTTCTTCGGTTTCGATTTGGTTTCGGTTTGGGAGAATTTGTACCAAACTAAAACCATTTGTTTCAGTTCGGCTTTGGTTCGGTTTCGGTTCGTTTGAAGTTCGGTTTACTAAAGTGAAAATTATTAGGTTCAATTTAGTTTGATTTGATTCAGTTTCTTATGTTTATTATTTTATTTGATCAAGTTCTATATCTTAGAATTAGAAAATGGAAGTAGTAGTCCATCTTATCTTCTTTTATTTATTATTTAAATAAAATAAAAGGAAATAAAAGATAGAAATAATAATAATAAAATATTACCACGTATAAATTAAAACTTCTAACTTTTTTCAATCACTAGAAAAAGATTCACTCCTCACAGAAAATAAATTTATAGTTGATTATGATTTATAATGTCACATAAAATATTTAAAGAAAACTAAATGAGTCATTGGTGCAAATATTGTAATTTTAAAAATTTTATTCAAATGAATCATGTAAAATATATAAATGCAATTTGCTATTGTTATCACCAAATATCTAAAATACAAGTAGAGTACATAACATAACAAATACAAATATGTCGTATAAGCTAACTTTGTCATAGTGAATGTATGAAATGTGTAAAAGTTAAAATGATATATGCTAAATTTGTATTTTTCATGTCTAAACTATTTATTTATATCCTAAAGATGAATAGTGAAGAGAAATACAAAGTATTTATATATATATATATTACAAGTTGTTCGATGTCGGTTCGGTTTACGGTTTTTCAGTTTTAAACCAAACCAAACCATTTGATTTGAGCAAATTGCTACCAAACGGTTTACTTGAGCAAACTCAAACCAAACCACCAATTTTCGGTTCGGTTCAGTTCAGTCAAACCAATCCATTTTTGCCCAGCCCTAACTCTAACCTTTTTGATCACCATCAATAACAGTTTCTTGTTATGCTAATGTGACTTCATAGGCGGGAGCGCGTGAAGCGAAAAAAATCTGAGAAGTTGAAAGAGGCTGAACCGGGGCCTTCTTCTACTGATGGTACTGGAGAAAATCAACAGCCTGATCTTAATGCACTCTCGAAAGGTCTTCCGGCGGGGTGGCAGGTGAGTTGCTTCCCACTAGCCTAGATATCTTCCAGGTGATTGGTTCTAATTATTCATCTTTGGATCTATATTGCGAGAGTATCTTCAATGTTATTTCTGCTTCAGGTTTACTGGGACGAGTCCTCGAAGCAGGTGTACTATGGAAATGTTGTAACAACGGAAACAACCTGGACTAGACCAACTAACTGAGTGTCTCTGATGTCAATTTTGATTTTAGTTCAGGAATTCAATCAGATCCATATCTTGTAAATAGCAGATAAAGATTACACGTAACACCAGAGATTGCTTATAAAATCTCTTCCCTGTTCTCACACTACGTTTCCTCATTCCATTGTCTAATTTGAATCAGATCCAGTTTCAGCATTTTTAAGCTGTTTCACTTTATGTACGAGACTTGGAGATGCTTCCTACTCCCTCCGTCCCTATTTAATCATCCCACTCCAAAATGCACACATATTAAGAAAATAAAATTGTTTGACACTTTTTGACACTGTTTCACATTGTTTTGTTTATCAAATAAAGAAAGATGATTTTTTAAAAGGATGTCTAAAAAGAAAAGCGGGAAGATTAAACAGGGATGGAGAAAGTAATTTTGGACAGTTAATGATGATCTTTGAGAAATTCTTTTCGTACTCTCAAATATGGTTATAAACTTATAACTTATAATTTAGTTCAAAGTAAGTGATTAGCATGAGAAAACAACTTCAAATATCAACTATCACATATAAATCAATGATAATATTTACTTTGTAAATAATTTTTAATAAAATATATTACATAAATATATAACAAAAATAGTTTGGAACTATTTTTTTGGCCAGTAGTTTCGTTATTTAACATATCAAAAATTGATATCAAACCATTATATAAAGGTTAATTCAAAATGGGGTCAGTTTAATTTTTCGATATAAATTTTGATGAATTGAATGATTGTGCTTGTATCGGAAAAATGACTTTGCATCACTTTTGTCATATATGTAAATATGGGTAGAGCAACTGGTTTTTCAATCAGATGTCCACCAGTTTTTTTTAGTGGAAATATCCGGAATCAGCCACTCTTGTTACTTGGATTTCATTAATGTTCACTCGTAATTTTCTTTTCATATCTCAACTTTCAACTTTTCAAAAACTTTTTTTATTTCAAAAGTAGCGTAAGTTCTAATTTTAAAACATATCGATATTCTCCGTCTCTTCTCTTTCGACTCTCTTCTCCCCCGTCTCATTCTTCGACCTCCACTCTCTTCTCTTTTCCCCAATCCCCCAGCTCCAGCCTATAGTGTCTAATCATTTGTTTTCTGGCTCCTTTGTGACTTTGAAGCATCGATGCTACCTGGCCACAATCGCCAGTCACTGCGACTTTCGACACTAATTCGCCGGTCACTTTTATGTCCTCATAGCTTGATTGCATGCCTCGCCAGATCGCCAAACTGCTCCTAGCAGACGAACGAATTATCTGGATTTCTAAACTTTTGAGCTTCTAACCTATTATTCGAAGGTAATCTCAAATTTATACGTGAATTTGTAAATTTGTAATTCCGAAGCCTGAAGATGCTTGTTTTGAATTATTTTTGTTATCTGAGTTATGAATTGCTTAATCCAAAAGCCTCAAATTGCTTAGTTGTATTGATTTGTAAAATTGTTATACGTACTGTTACTAATGCCTCTCAATTATTACATTTTACTTTTTGTTATGATATTGAATTGAGTGTAGTGTATTGTTTTCTAAATAAGCTTTAGTTGTGGTTTAAATTCTCCTTCTAACTAATGTTTTCTACTTTTGGCTCATGTGCTCTCCTTGATTTTGATTTGGTTTATTTTATATCTTGATGTGCTATTTATATTTTTACAAATATGCTTTGATGTCTAAAATCTTTTTATAAACAACGGTACACTAGTGTAGTGTTTCCCCTAGAGATGAAGCTGAGCAATACTTCAATAGATGATGCAAATGTTGAGTATTCATTGTTTGAGTGGCAGTCCACGTAGGGAGTGGGTCTAAGGACACTATGTCACCCTCATGAAAAGTCACTACCATTATATACTAATCTTCTATACAAACATACTTTGAATGAACACAAGAATACTCAAGCAACACTAATTAATGAATCATTGTTGCTAAATCTCAAGTATACTGATTAGTAAGTAATAATGATCACCAGTTTATTAGGGACATTGTTTTGTGATCTTCTGTTTATGCGTGTTTGATTTTTTATGCCTTTTGCTAGCATGTCTCTTGTTGAGTATGAGATTCTGAGGTTCTTGCCCTCTCTGTTAGCGGTTGGGGTGATCTTTATAGTTCAAAGCAGTCTGATTGGCTGCTGGGACATAACTTTTGAGAAGTATATTGGATATATTCATGGTAAACGGTTGGAGTGCTCAAAGATGTTGATTTCTTTTCATTATAAGGGAGGAAGAGAGGAACTATGAGGGAGGAAGACAGGAACTGGAAAGCTAACTGCAGCATTCAGAAAGTACATTGCATTTAAATATGGCCGTGTTGCTAAGGATGTGATTTTCAATTGTCTTCAAAATGCATCTATGTTTTATTAGGTGTGGAACTAGGATTGAACACCTGGTGACTGGTAAGGTTGGCATCGGGAGGGGGGGGGGGGGGGGGGGGTGCTGCAACAAAAGTTGCCCCTAGGTGGCTGCTATATTTTGTTACCTACTTTTGTAATGTCTTTATATTACATTTCAACACTATGAATTTATTAATATAAAGCTATTACCGGAAGGTTTGATATGCATTTGTCTAAAAAAAACTCTCCTACCATGTCTTGGTTTTGAAATGTACTTGCTACTTTTTCTTATAAGCTCATGAGTCCCATGATCATATTTTCATGGCAGCGCATTCTAATTGTAGGTGCATGACAGAAGACATGGCATGGAGATGATAATAAAACCGAGAAGATCAACGAGTAAAGAAACACAAGGAGACAAACCTGATGGATTGTGTGTTAAAAATTTAAAATGCATATATGGAAGAAGAATGTGAAGAAACAATGTCAAATAGTATAATACTGTAAAAAGAAGAAGCAAAGTCAAATAATATTGTAAATGTACTGAATTGAAACAATAGATGAAATTATATATCTATTTTGGTACATTTATATGTTGTTTTTTGTTTCATTTTGTTGTATGGTATGTGTTGCTTTTTGTTGCAAAATGTTGCTTTTTGTTGTAATGCGTTACTTTTTGTTGCAACATGTTGCTTAGTGTTATTTATAGTTCATTTTAATATTTAATATTTATTTATATTTCCACTCACCTCTGATGCTTCTTTGCAATAAAAAGTAATATATAGATTTGCATACAATCAGCTAAAATAATCAATTTGGATTTATGAATGCCAACTCAAATATAACAAGAAACCTGAAGAAACAATAAAAAACAAAAATTTCAAAGATATAAACAAAAATAAACACAAACAAACAATAGGAAACAAAAACTAACATGGAAATGATAATAACAATTATTAGATTTTGAGACCATTTTAAAAGTATTGAGTTACAAAAGTCACATTTTTTTTTTACCTTTTTTCAATTTTTTCAAGTATGTTTTTTTCATTTTGTTTTTATTTTTCACGTTTTTATTTATGAGTTTCTTATTTTTACATGTTTTTATGTACTGTTTTATATTTTAAGAATTTATTTTTGGTTTTCATTTTATCTGATTGTATATTACATTTTTCAAAATTTTCAAATTTATATATTTATTAAAATTTCTTAGATTTTTAGTTTTAATATATTCCGGCTTTTTAAAAATTTACTCTTTCTATAAAAAGCTTTAAATGCTTTTCATATTATAATAGATTCAAAACATGTTTACTTATTTTACATATTCTGTCTGCAATTTTAGGTTTTCATATTTTAATACTCCGTACTTCACACGTTTTATAGTACAGTTTACATCAATGTTTCTAATTTTAAAAAAATTAATACAATTTTTTCAAATGTTTTAAAATTTGTGTGTTTATTTGAATGTGAAACATTGGTTACTCAGCCTATAGCCCTATAGTCCAATTTAAAAAAATCACTCTTTCATAAAAAATCTATCTACTTTTCATATATTTTATATCTTAGAATATTTTAACTTATTTTACATTTTGGTCGTCGCTTTTTTTATTTAACTTATAGGTTCAATTGGCATTTGTATTACAACTTTTTTGATTTTCTTTTTACTTTTAATTTTTTTCTTTAGTTACTTATTATTTTTAAGACTTTAACTATCTTTCCAATTATTTACATCCTTTTGATGTTTTAGTAAATATTTATATTTTTATCCTATTTAAAAAAAAAACTAATACTACGTAATTCTTAGTGTTTGTGCGTAGAACTCCACTGCTCATACGGAATTAGGATACGGAACTCCAACGCAAGCAGTGGATGCGGAGGTGCCGAACATGTCTTTTTTTGAAAGAAAAAGTTGGGTAGTCTACTTTTTGAAAAATAAATTGGAGAGTGATAAAAGTGATATTTAAGTCTATTCGGGATAATTTCCCTTTTTTATCCGCAAATAAAGTTGGTTATGCGATTTTGATTTTAGTAACTGTTTTAAGCCGATATTAATAATTGTTTTTCCTCAGTAGGCGTGGACCCAGGCCGGGCCCGGGCCGGGTCGGGCCTATGAATGTTGGGACCAGGCTCGAGCCCGGACCGCTTTGAGGCCGGTGCCGGTGTGGGCCGAGTCACCCGCCTGGGTCCCGGGCCGGGCCACCCGCCGGGTCGGGCCTCTATAAATTTTTTCCTTTTCTACTTATTTATACAACTTTTGCATATTAAAAACAAGCTTCAAGTGCATTTATGTGAAATAGGAACTACATTTGAGAATTAAAGACAAAAATACAATATGAAATACATTTTCTAATAAATAAAAATATAATTAATTCTAAGTTGTAAGTTTGTAACCAATTAATTAATTTGAGAAGTGCTACATTTAAAAAAAATGAATGTATATTTATTTGAAATATGAACTACAAGTTTACAAATTACAATAGAGAATTGATGGAAAAATTAAAACATGAAATACATTTTATAATAAATTATAAAATACTAATCAATCGGAATCTCCGGCATAGGTAGAGCCACCATCGGTTGTTGATTCATCATAAAGTCTTGAGAGGGGGTGATGCTAATTTCTTGAGTTCTACGTATGGCCTTCAACCAATCGTGGTAGCATATAAGCGTCTCAAGAGACTCTGCGTTCAAACTCGTTCTAGATGCCGTTAGGACGTTGCCGGACGAACTAAATTCTTGTTCCACGGCAACTGTTGAAACCGGCATTGATAGCATTTGCTTAGCCATCCGTGCTAAAATCGGGAGCATTCTTTCTTTTGACTTCCACCACTTCAGAACGTCAAAGTCATCATTTTCTTCAAAATCAACGTCATA